CAGTGCAGTGGTCAGGCCTCTACACCGTCTATGAAGTGGTCTCCCCAACAGGACATGAGTCCATCTGGCCCCCTAAAAAATATTTACATTATTGATTATATTCCCCAGACTGTCTTTTCTATCCCTGAGGCCATATTGTAGTTACCAATTTATGTTGTCTCGTCCCTTCCTCTTGGAGGCTAAGAATTTTAAATCAGAAATGGGTGGAGGTGAGTTTTACTTCCTTTTATTGTTCCTTAGGATTATTAGTAAGTTTAAATTTCCTACCTCCTTTTCAGTGAATTTTGTTCATATATATTATTTAAAATCCATTTCATATATCTTTTCAAATGTATTAATTTTTAAATGTATATAGTAATTACTTGCATGGAGTTCATCTTGCTTTCTAACTAGAGATTAATATACAGTTACTTTTTCTATCTTCTTTTTCTGGCAATGTTTTATTAGAGACTATAGAACTGTGTGGTTCAATATATAGCCACATGTGGCTATTTAAATTCATGTTAATTAAAATTAAAGTTTGAAATTCAGTTCAGTAACACTAGCTACATTTCAAGTGCTCAATATCCACACATGGAAAGGGGTTACCATATCAGACAGTATAAAATATAGAACATTTTCATCACTGCATTAAGTTCTATTAGATGACACAGTCCTCCAAGTGGCACTTCTTTGTATCCTACAGATTTTGACATATATTACATTCTGTTCATTCTTTGCTAGTTTGTAATTTCAGTTTATATTTCCATTTTAACCTAAGAATTATATTAAACATCTATATAAAGATGTTTTTAATTTTTAAGAAGATAGTGCTTCTATTTTTGGAGTTTTTAGGGGGCCCAACTGATCCAAGTGTTCGGCTTACAGCTAATTCTCACCAGGTGAGCACCCTCTGGCCCATTTCATCTTTGTTTCAGCTAATATTTTGCCTACACGATCACTAGAGTTGTTTTACCTCTGCATTTCTTCTCTTCTCCATGGCTTGTAAGCTGTGGTTTTTCTACTTTTGTTTTACTGGCAATTTGATCCCACCTGTTTTCTAAATTTCAAGTTTTCCTGTGGATTTTTTTTTTTTCAGTGTTCAGAGAAAAGCGGCTTTGTTCAAACCACGATCCCATTAGGGACTATACACTGCATTTGGCTGTTCTGTCTCCTTGGACTTTTAATTTGGAATCCTCAACCATTTCCCCCAGGATATTTACTTGCTGAAGGTATCAGCAAGTTTTTCGTTTTTAAGTATCTCCTGCCATGGAGTCTGGGGTGGATGGGGATATTGACATGTGTGCTCAATCACCATCCCAAGCCAATCTCGCTCACCAGCCCCACCTTATTTTGAAGAGGATAAAAATTCAAACTCTTTAGCAGGACCTTTCAACCCAAATATCAACCTACATCAGAAACCTTATTTCTTTCTACTTCCCTCAAATATCCAACATTCTAAGATGACAGCATAATACTTGCAAATGACCTTTGAAATTTAGAATTTCTACAGTAGAGAGTATCAGGACCCTTCTAGAGGGTTTCCTTTTCACTTTATAAACATTCTCATTTCCAATAGCACGCTAGCAGCAATGTGGGACTCTGAGCCACCTCAATGCTTCTGAGTGCAGACTGTTTGCAAATCGCCATTGTAGCTCAGGATTCCTTGTATACCAATACATTCTCTTGTGAACCAAACACCAAGCAGTGAAAATAATTAACAAGTATCCATAAAAAAAAGTGATTATAACTTTGTATTTTAATTAACCTGGTTAACTGAAGCAACCTATGAATGTCTAAAAATAACCTATAACCTATCTATTACACATAAGGTAACCACTGAATTTACATTCCAAACTGAGGCACTTTTGAGAATGAAAGGGGGTGTGCTATTAATAATTACAGTAAAATAACATATAAACTGGGTATCCTGAGCTATGAATAACTTGTACAACTATTAGAAAGATTTATTGACTTTTCCTTTAACACATCCTGTCACTTTGCATCTGCTTAAATATGGCTGATATCTACTCTCTCCATAGATTTTTATTGAGCCCCTACTATAAGGGAGATGCTGTGCTGAGAATACAAGTGAACAAACAGATAAGGCCACTTGCCTTCATGGGACTTATAATTTGAGTTTTGGGTTTTTTTCCTGCTGATAATAAAGTATGGCTTTCAATCCTTGAAGAATAACATATGCGCCTCAGTTCTACCAACTGACCCTCTTAACTGCTTGATGCAGCGGGAAGAGAATAAAGGCTTTCAAGTCGCACAGACTAGGGTCTGTTGCCCTAGCTCAGCCGCTTACCAGTGTCTTCCAGTAAGATACTTAATGTGAGCCTCACCTGGGGAACATCGCAAGGATGTTATCAGGAGAAAGGTTTGCATAGCGCCCTGTAGGTGGTAGTTATGGCCATGTTTTCTCAAGTTATACCACACCTGAGCACAAGGCGTACAGAAAATGTCAAATCAGCCTAATGCAGAAGGGGGCAGATGGAATCAGAGAGGAAAATGTGTCCACATCAGGCAGTGAAAAGAGCCCTAAATCAAACTGCTCTCTGCATTACTTGAGCCATAGGGCTCTGAAAACAGGCCCCCTGAGGAGCAAAGATTCCTAAGTTCTGAGTAACAGACATCAGCTGTGAACTTGAGCCCTTTCCTAGCTAGTCTTGGTGCTCCTGATTGCAGGATGCCCCTCAGAGGCTCAGTTCTGGATTTGCCCAGAACCTTTCAGCTACTCTTGTGGAGCAAAGGGCAGAGCACAGTTCCTGGGTATGTGGGGAGAAATCTGGGAGGAGGTGGGGAAAAGATCCAGAACGATAAGGAAGTGTAGCTCCACTAACCAGGCCTCTATGCAGCACATTTAAAAAGTTTTGCAGAGTGCTTTGCACCACGACACAGAGGGAGCACGAAATAAAGCAGCTTTGAAAAGAACTGATTTGCTCTCCCACCAAAGGCTTCCTTCCCTGGCCCGCAAAATCAGCGCCAGCATACTGGGAATGTAAATCAAATTAGAACACTGCCCTAGCTCACTATCCCAAGGTAATTAGAATTAACTGAATAGCTTCCAATCAACTTAAACGGAACATTTATTCTGTTAAAAATATCTTGTTGATGGTGTAATGTGAACACAGCTGATGAGAAGGAGCCACTGATAAGAATAATAAAAGGAAAATCAATAACACTTCCCAGGATATGCTGCTCTAGAAAAACTGCTTTTGAAGACGACTAAGATTTTCACCTGTGAGCACCACAACTTGAACCGACACTAGACTTCTTTGACACAATTTTTTTTTTCCTATTTGAATGGCTTACTGCACCTTTTTTAAAAAAATAAAATAAATTTTCACTGGGAAATCATGGAAAATTCAGCCTAATGAGAGAGTAAAACGCATCTGTAATTCCAACAATCAGGGATAAACACTAACACCTTGGTGGGGATCTTTTAAGTGAGGGCAGCTTTTATAATGCAATACACTAGTCACCGGATGCTCTTGGTCCCCTCCCTTTGATTTCTGAAATGAGTAACAACACTCAGGGCACTCCAGTCGCCACAATTTTTAAAACACTGGATTTCCATTTGCAATTTGCGCAGGCTAAGCCCTTAATTAGTAACAGCAGGTGCTGAAGGGCTTCAAGCCAATCACTCCTCCATTTTAGTGAGTTGTTATTTATGTCACTCTTATCACCCCGAGCAGTGCTGACACTCAGCAGCTGGAGGGGCTGATCTCTCACAGGGCAATCCTTGGCCTCCAGTTTCCCCAGGGGTCAAGGGGCTTAAACAGCTCTATCTGGAGAGACTGAGCGAGCTGCTCCTCAAATGCAAACAAAAGGTTCAGTTGGGGCTTCAGACTGTTTTAGGGGTTGAAAGCCATAATTATTTACTAGATAATCAGACATTTTATTCAGAGTTCCGTTTTGGACAGCTTTGCCTAATTCTGCACCATAAAATACTATTTTTCCTTTGAGTTTAAATAGGTACCTCCACTTTTAAAATGATTAAGAAAACCTATTAAATTGGCCCACTTCAAAGTGGCCATAATTCCGTTTCAGAAAGCTTGTTCCTGAGAGGAGATCTAACTATGTAGAACATTCTGAGTGGTAAACAAGTCATACAGCCCAAAGGGTTTCCGTTTGTCTACCAAAGTATGTAAAAAACTCGCTAAGAAGAAAGCCAACACCGTTTGCCTTGTTTTCTGGGGTGGTGAGGTTTTCTTTACGCTTTCTTCCTAGCGGATTAATAATCTTTTTATCTAAAAGTTACAGAAGTAATTTTGTGCTTCTGTGAAGGGGATAAATAAGGAGCTTGTAAAAGGCGGGTGGGCTTTGGGTTTCCATGGAGGGCGGGAGGGTGTGTGAGGAGAGCAGGGCCTTCGGTTTCCACACACACCTGCCTGTGTACACGGTGTGAGCCGAGGAAGAACGCGCAAGCACACTTTGGGACGCCATGCCAGTAAGCAAATGGGAAAAGAGCACGCCAAGTTGTGCAGAGAATGCTGAAAATAAACTTTCCTACGTTGCATATACTTTCCTATATTCAAGCTCAAAATTGTGATGCACATTGTGTCCAGTCACCAGCCCCAAACACCTGCTGACTTTTGCTCCTGGGTAACTACCAATGGTTTCCTGACGGAAAAATGATTTTAAGTTTGGCAGGAGTCAGGGCTGGAGGAGGGTTTCTTTGTAAAAAAGTTCAGTCCACTTTCCTGCTTTGGTCTCCTTTCCTGGGGGGATTCAGCCAGGTCCCCAACCTCGCTAGGGGTAGTGGACCAGAGCGGGACTCCAGGACCGAAGGCTGGAAACCTCGGAAGCCCTATCCACACTTCCTGCCTCGGGGCACTGACCCAGGACTCGCTCGCGCCCCTGGAAGTGGCCCTTCCTGCCGCCGCCCTCCCGGGCTGTCCCCGAAACCAGGGACGCCTGCGCCCGGCTGTGCAGCCGTGGGGGCCACCCTGGCCCAGGGCCCGCGCGCCATTATGAACGCAGCTGCCTCGCCTTCCTCCTCCTCCGCCTCTTACCTGGCCAGAGATTTGGCCCAGCTCCTGGCCGATAATTGAGGCCGCCATGGCCCGTTGCCCACGTGCCTGGTGTGGGGCAGCCTCACAGCAAGGGGAGCTCGCCAACCCAGCCACGTCCCGCCGCCGCGCTAATGGCTGAGGGCCAGCACCTGCAGGTGCGCATGCCCCGGCCGCCCTTAAAGTGGCCCTTCCGCCCAGATCTAGGCACTTGGAGTAGCAGTGGGTTCTGCGGGGGAGGGGCCGAGCTGCGGGGGGTAAGAGGGAGTGCTGCTGGGGAGGGGCTGCCCAGGGTGCCCTGGAGGCCCTTAGGAGAAGCTGTCACTGGCATACTGCCCACCCAAAGCTCCATTCCCTAGTCCCTGGGAGGTCACACAGGCCTTAGAACTGCCACTGCTCCGCCTGGAGAAAGGGGAAGCTCTGCCCTGCCTCTGGAGGGTCTAAATATCTTAAGAGATCTTATGGGAAATCTTGCAAGTTTAAATATTACGAATTAGCAAACAGGTTTTTTGGGGGGTTTTTTTCCTAGGCAAATGTATGGTACAGGATAGGAAAGGAGAATGCTGTTATGGTTTCTTAGTGTTTTCTTTCCAAACCACTAATAAATTAAAAATCTTAGAAGCATTTAATTTTGCCCTGTGACAACAAATATTGTCTGTTCCCATTTTCTCAGCTGAGAAGGTGAGGCAATAACAAATCTCCCGGCGGCGGCTGCCCTGTAACCCACTTTCTTCAGCCTTCACTCGACATTTTATTGAGATCTATTGAGTGCCAGGACCTGTGGGGGATCCTTCCTCTTGTCGGTCTTTACTACAGTTCCTGATTTTTCCATTGCTAGAATTTGTGGGGCTGGGGAGTGTGGGGGTGGGGCGTGGGGGAAACAGGGAGAGGATGGTCTCTGGTAGTGTTTGTTGCTTTGGATTTGCCTCGGCTCTTGATCTCACTTGAACAACCAGTACCCCTGATCTCAGGGCAAACGTCCTGTTTCCTGAGCAGGTGGTGGTAAGTTCTGGGGGCGTGATTTAGATCATGAGAGCATGAGAAAATATCATTATGATTCTATACGATTTTGATGGGAAGGTGCAAATAAATTTCCGGTAAGATCATTCTGCGTTGTTTTTGGAAGTAAATGTACACATATTGATAGATATGAATTTTGGCTCTTTATTACTTTTTCAATCAATTAGGAACTGAGAGTATCTACATAAGCGTCTGTGAGGTGGGATGGTAGTTTGTTCATCAATATGGGACAAAGGTGAAGTCATGCTCAGGCACAGTATGCAATGTGAAGTGAGGTAGCTTTGAGCATTTCCCCCCTTTTTGGTAACCAGGTTTGCATTGCTCCATAGGTCTAGATTAGCAAAGCTAATTGTGACAAAGACATTGTTGAAACTGACAGACTCATTGCTTTTAAATTTGAGTGGACAATACCCCTAAGTTTATGTGAGAATAAGTAATCATTCCTGAGTTAGAGGAAGCAAAAGAAGATAACAAATCTCTTCTGTATCAAGAATATAAGATTCTCGGGGTGGCCGGTTAGCTCAGGTGGTTAGAGCGCAGTGCTCATAACACCAAGGTTGCCGGTTCGATCCCTGCATGGGCCGTGGAGCTGTGCCCTCCACAACTAGATTGAAGAAAACTACTTGACTTGGAAAAACACATTGTCCCCCAATAAAATCCTTTGAAAAAAGAAGAATATAAGATTCCAGCCTTCATAAAAATCAAGTTGAGTATTTTAGTAGTTTCCAATCTTTGTCACCATTTAACTTTCTTGAATCACACTCATATTATTAGAGAAAATTGGGCAGAAGGATGCTCTTTGTGATTCCCAAGAATAAAAATATGCTACTTATGCTCTTGCTGAAAATTTGAATACTATGGATTAGAAAATATGACAATTCTACATAAAGAAATATATTTTAAAACTTGTACTCAAAATTAGTAATTCAAATGTATCTCTTAGAAAATAATTTTTGCATCATTTAAAATTTAATATTCATAGTATATGCTTTATATTATTTCCCACCAAAATTAAATTATAATTGTGTATTTTTTACAATATTCATATACCCTGAATAGTTTTGTAAGTAGTACAGTATACATGGTCCATTCAAATGAATTCTTATCAGAACCTATGTTTAAAATGTTTGGAAATTTACCATCCAGCTATTTTACAGAAACTGTTATATGTAAGCTGTGTCCAATATTGTTGCTTACTTGGCTTACAGAAATTTATAACTCGATGGGACCCTGGAGATTACTTAGTTGTCCTTTCCTTTTAAAGATGCTGATGCCCAGAGAATGTTCTTATAAAGACCACGGAAGTTGAAAGTCAGAGAATTAACTAATTTCAATCATTTTTACTAATTATTTTTTACATTTAACAATGCACTAAAGTCACTATGTAAATACATACCCTTTAAAACACCATGCTTGCACTGTCTTTGGAATATTAAATCGAAGAGTCTACCATAACTTGACTAACCATTAAGTTCCATTAATTATAAACAAGGCCATTTTCTTAATGTTAATTGAGGAAGGTGATTTTGCCTCCACCTTTGCCATCTCCTCCTCCTCCTTTCTGACAATTCATCAGAGAATAGCCAGAATGGTCTTCTAAAATACAAATCAGAATATTAATTCCTTTTCGCAAAACCACCCACTCAGAAAAAAAAATCTAAATTTATTTCTATATTCAACAGTACTTTTATATCTGACTCTATCTCTCCCACCTTATTTCTTTCCATGTTTACCACCTTTCATGACCTCTCATCAAAGTGTCTCTTTCTTCTGAAAAAATCTGGTAAGTGAAAACCTACATTTTGCCCTTTTTCTTCCTTCTGTTTGGAATGTTCTTCCCTGTTATTCATTTCATCTGGATTTCTTACATGATGTCATCTTGAACACTCCCTATCAGAATCTAACCCCTTACTCTATTTTTCTTTTTTTTTTTT